AATTACTAGACATGCCGGAAGAAGTGTGCATGTTGTGTGCATCTCATTGAGAATTTCTCATCCTTTTCACAACCAAACCTCACACATACTCATCGAGAGTAGATCAGCCACCTGACCCCCTCTTCTCAATCCCAACCCAGTGGGGGGAGGTGAAACCTCACTAGCATTGATCTCATACACAGTTACCGAGGGACGGTCAGGCTCCCCTCAGCCTCTTCTCAAACCCAACCCAATGGGGGGAGTTGACCACTCCTTCACACTCATACACACTCACTGAGGGAAGGTCAGCCTCCACTCCACCTCTTATCAAACCCAGCCCAGTGAGGGGAGTTGAACCATCTCTCCCTTGCACTCACTTCGTACACACTCACTGAGGGAAGGTCAGCCTCTTCTCAACCTTTTTTCAAAACCCAGCCCAGTGAGAGGTGCTGAACCATCCCTCCCTCACACTCACCTCATACACACCCACTGAGGAAATGTCACGCTCCCCTTAGCCACTTCCCAAACACAGCCGTGTGAGGGGCGTTGAACCCCCCCCCCACACTCACCTCATACAAACTCTCAAAAGGAAGGTCAGCCTCCCCTCAACTTTTTATCAAACCCAGCTTAGTGAGGGGAGTTCAACCCTCCCTCCCTCGCACTCACCTCATACACACTCACTGAGGGAAGGTCAGCCTCCCCTCAACCTCTTCTAAAAACCCAGCCAAGTGAGGGGTGTTGAATCCTCACTCACACTCACCTCATACACACCCATTTGGGGAAGGTCACGCTCCCCTCAGCCACTTCTCAAAACCCAGCCGTGTGAGGGGAGTTGAACCTCCCCCCACACTCACCTCATACACAGTCTCGAAGGGAAGGTCAGCCTCCGAAAAACCTCTTTTCAAAACCCAGCCCAGTGGGGGGAGTTGAACCCTCCCTCACACTCACCCCAGAACACACTCACCTCACACTCACCTCATAACACACTCGCTGACGGAAGGTCAGCCTCCACTGTGCCACTTCTCAAACACAGCCCAGCGAGGAGAGTTGAAGCTCCCATCACACTCATCTCATACACACTCACAGGGGGAAGGGCAGCCTCCCCTCAACCTCTTCTCAAAACCCAGCCCAGTGGGGGGAGTTGAACCCTCCCTCCCTCACTCTCACCTCATACACACCCACTGAGGGAAGGTCTCGCTACCCTCAGCCTCTAATCAAAACCAGCCCAATGGTGGGAGTTGAAACCTCCCATCACACTCACCTCATACATACTCACTGAGGGAAGATCAGGCTCCCCCCAGCCTTTTTACAAAACCAGGCCAGTGGGGGAAGGTGAAACCTCCCATCACAATCACCTCATACACACCCACCGAGAGAAGGTGAGCCTCCCCTCACCCTCTTCTCAAGCCCAGCCCTGGGGACAAAGTTGAACACTTCCCCACATTCACCCCATACACTCTCACTGAGGGAATATCAGCCTCCCCTCAGCCTCTTCTCAAACCCCACCCAGCCCGGGCCGGTGAACACTCCCTCACACTCACCTTATACACTCTCACTGAGGGAAGGTAAGCCTCCCCTCATCCACTTATCAAGCCCAGCCCAGTGGATGGAGTTGAACCTCGCCTCACACTAAACTCATATACCCGCAACAGAGGGAAGGGCACCTCCTCTCATCCTCACCCCTAAGAACAGCCTTTCCGGGGGCTCGGGTTTGAACCGACATCTTACCCTGACTTCATACCCAATCAATGGGGGAAGTTATCCCTCCTCTCCGTCTCACTTTAGATCCAAATCTGTGGGGAGCGTTTGACCTCCCATCTCCCTCACCTCGCGCCTTCGCACTGAGGGGAGTCGTCCCTCCCCTCTCCCTCACCTGATACACCCTCTTAGGCAAGTTATACCACACCTCACCTTCACATCGTCCCCACTTTTGAACCCCACCATGTTCACTCACTGGTCGCCAAAACCTTGAGGGTTGACAGATATGTTGAGTGTGTCAGTTTATCCCTTTTTTGCCGATAGTCACCCGTCCTCGCCGGCGTAGCTGTGTAGGTGCGCACAGAGAAATGGGACAAAAGTATGAGGTGGAGAGAATCGGTGCGGTGCGTGCCGAGCCCGTGGGGTGCGATACAGTCAAATGCGGCGATGGTGCGGTGCTGGCGGGGGCCCGAAATCACGGTTGGTGCAGGGTGATGGTGGGTGGTGCGATAATCCGTTTGCGTTAGGGCGAGTATCGAGCCCGTGTGTGTGATTCTAATGTTGCACGCTTTCACAACTGCGATTGCGTCATGCTACGCGTGGCTAATAATCATTGTGCAATAGCGTTTTGTTGTACTTCAAGCCTCAGTGACATCTGAAAGTAGCCACAAGTGGGTGGTGTTCCCTAGAGTGGAACAGGAGTGCACGTGGTACCGTCGAGTGCGGTGCGAGTGGCTGCTAACGAATAGTAATTAGCGCGGGGAGGATTGAGTGCGGTGCTGGAAATTTATCGCCCCGGTGACTGCTGTGACGGTTGAGTACAACGCAGAGGAGGGTGGAGCAGGTCGAAGTGTTTCTAATGAACGTGGTCCAGCTGTATCAGGATGAGTGCGTCACATATGTGTGCTGTACGAGGGCCGTGCCTGTCAAGTGCGTGCAGCAATGTATGCAGGAGATATGTAGCGTCAGAAGTGAGTGGCAGTCATCCTGAATTTTCCGGTATCAATGAATGCATGTTGCCAACCCGTCGTAATCGTGACTTCCTGACACACCGTGACCAAACTGTGTGCATTGTCCGTCGTTTCAGTCACTGTGCCTTAGAATGCGCACCAGCAGAGACCATTTCCCACTCACTCGCTTAGAGCATGGTTCGTGGACTGTCCTCCGCGCGCGTTGTAACGTGACAAGTTCGTCGACCAACCCCGTCCCCCTTTCCGTTGGAGCGCGCCTTTGCACCCGGTAAGTGCAGTCAATTCTCCATCCGTGGATAGCGCACTCAGCGATTCGTATTCAGCTAGCTCGAATCAACTCAAATGAAGCGTTCTCTGAACTAACAGGGCGATGGATTGCTCGAAGCGTGGCGACGAGACGTGTGTCTATCACTCTTTGTCACTCCTATTCAGACACGTACTACAACACGACCTGAAACAATAGGTCTCTTGGGGGCATGATTTTCTGCCGCAGCCACTGTTGTAACATCCTGCTGGCGACTCGGTGCTCATGTACTAAGGCACGTATCTGTTGCGTACTCCTGTGTATAACCGCTACCTCCTTTCCGATTTCATAGAAACATAAAAAACCGTTGCAAACCCGGTAGTTTGCTCTCCACTGACGAAGCGCAGGAGTCTTGTTTGGTAGGTGACGGTTGTCGAATGCTCTTTTCCAGGTCGAGCTCGACAGTGTATGTCACATCGCGTGGAGTGGGTGAAGTGAGGAGGAATTTTGTACGCAGAACGGTGTCATGGTTGGTTGGATGTTGTTTGTCGTTTGTGTTTGTTCATGAGCCATGAGGTAGACAATTGTGGCTTGCGATTCACTGTGCCACGTTGTACCTTCGCCACCTGTTCCTTCCAATTTCGACTTTCGTAAACCTTCGCTGAACCCTTTTCAAGTTCAGTAATCTTGAGCCCTTGCCATTCTAGGCGCCGGCTTTAAGACGTACCACACCATCTCTTTGTCACGCTGCAAAGTGAGTCCCCCGTGCCAAAGCGCAGTCAAGGGCGAACACGCTCCCACCAACCCACCCGTCATTCTTGGTCAAGTTTTACCACCGCGGCAATCTCGAGGAAGGAATCTGGAGTCTTCTTGGGGTCCTGCCTTTTTTTCGCTTTTTGCACACTCGACAAAAAGCTCACAACCAACCACAACGATCAGAGCACCACCATCATCCTGACACCACCATCGCCACCAGCACCAGCTCCATCGGACCATCGCACCATCATCCTCTCCATCCACCACCATTATTTTCATTACGAGGTTGCTGCTATTATTTCCATGCGAGTTTTAGGGCCTGTTGGTCTCAGGTTTCTCCGTTGTGATCAACTGGCAGAGTCCGAACCGTGGGATCCGTGTTGGGTAACGAACCCTGGAGCGATTTCTTAGTACGTTCGTCGCATATCTCCGCTGATTCAGTCATGGAGTCCCGCGATGCCGATCATACCAGTCCACCGCTACCGCCGAAGCCGCCGGCATCTTCCACCTCCGCGACCGCATTCGTCGCGTCGAGTAGCAGTTTAACCGCGGAGCCGCGTCAAGGTCAGACTTTTGAGGCGCCTAAAGAATCGTCCAATAGGAGGAGTTTATCGGCAGAGCTTCGTTGGGGGGACAGGGCGTCGGACTTTCCAGAAGAGGTTACCGTGTTATCCGCACCAGCGGGAGCATCCGCTTCCGGATTGGCCAGGCGAGGCTCGTCCGCGAAGAATCTTCGCGAATCTTTTCTTATCGAGCCTGTCGTTACCGAGGTTCCGCGTGCGACCTTCGCTGGAGATCCCTGTGGTGTTCCTATAACGAGGGAAAGATACAGCGGTGGAGAGAGTGATCAATGGGGGGGGGAGCGACAACGAACAGATGACGGGATTGACAGCAGCGGCATTTCCATCCCCGCTCATTCGTTTCACGAAGCAGCCAATATCGATGTTAAGCGTTTGGAAGCCCGCAGTCACGATGCGGAAGCAAGCGGCTCTATCCTTAACAAGGATGATTATAGCGGAGCAATTTCTTCAGCACAGGACAGTCTTCGCGATGCCATCGATCTGATCGCGACAGGTGTCGAGGCGAGTGCCAGCGAAGGGGTGACAGAATCAAATCCTCTTTACAGCAGCTACAGTGAAATCGGAAGTGCGCTTGAAAATAGCGAGATAATAATTCAGGAGGGACGGCCCTCCGTTATAGCGGAGGAGCGGGGGAGAGCGTACCACGGGAGCGATCTCCACGAATCCGCCATGGTCGACCAAAGTGCTTATATTGAAGCAGGGTCTGAGGTTGGCGAAAACAGGAAAACAAAAAAAGGCGACGCGGTCGAGGAGCAATGGCCGACAGGGCCTATGGAATCCTGGGATCCTAAGAAAGTCCAACACCTCATCGCCCGCTCGCCTCCCCACCGACCCTTCCCCTCCTACCTCTCCTCCTCCTTCCCCTCCTCCCTCTCCTCCTCTCTCTCCTCCCACCTCGCCCTCCTCCTCTCCTCGCTCTCCCGCTACGCGCGCGCGCTGGACGCGTGGTGGGGAACAGTGGCCGAGGAGACGTTTAATCTCTCCGAGGAGTTTAAGTACGTCGGCTGGCCGGGCAACTATGGCAAGGCGGCGGGGGGAGCTGCAGGGGGTAGCGCGGTGGGCGCAACGGTAGCGTCTGCGGGGGGTGGGGGATCGGTGGGGGGAGCGGGGGAAGGCGCGGGGATGGGGGTGGGAGGGGGAGCGGGAGCGGGAGTGGAGGCGGGGGGAGCGGGTGTTGGGGGGGTGAATGTGTGGCGGCGGGTGAAGAAGTACCGACACTTTGTGGCCTTCATGGCTGGTGCGTCTGGTTCATGAATGCATGAATGCAGTATGTATGAATGCATGAATGCAGTATGTATGAATGCATGAATGCAGTATGTATGAATGCATGAATGCAGTATGTATGAATGCAGTATGTATGAATGCAGGGAGTGGCTTCAGCCATCTCTTCGTGAGTGAAGAAATACCAACACTTTGTGGCCTTCATGGCTGGTTATGAGTTGCACATGGTTTGTATGTAGGTCTGAATGGCGTCCGTCTGTGGTGAGTCTGTGCATGAATGCATGAATGCAGCATTCGTGCATGCATACAGTGGTGACAATAGTCAACCATCGCTTCACCCTTCCCTCTTGGTAAATGCATGCACCATAGACACGCGATCCCTCCTTTCCCCTATCCCCATCCGTCCCTCCTCCCATCCATCCTTCCTTTTATCTCTTCTCCCTTCCCTCCGTGCATGCAGTGGTGGCAGCAGTCAACGGGCTCTTCTCTCTGCTTCTCATCGACTCCCTCCTCTCTGGTGCCTGCATCCCTCTCTTCCACGACTGCCATGCCCACCCTCACAGCCATGGTGCTGCTGCTCTTGTAACCTATGACCTGTGAGTATCACGTATGACAGTGCAACGTATGTGTGATTGCAACCTATTTCATGTGATGTATTTGTGAGTGCAAGAAACGTGTTTCGTTTAAGTCCCTCATCCCCTCCCACCTCTCTCACCCCCCTCACCTCCTCCCACCTCTCCCATCGACCTCATCCCCTCTGCTTTTTCCGTTCATCCCAGGTCCAATATCAACCACACTCGCCACGCAGCATCCCTCCGCTCCCTCCACCAACCACACGCCACCGATTTCCACCACTCTGCGCACAGCAGCAGCCACAGACAAAGTCTCATGCAGCAGCAGCAAGACGAGCGTCAGTCTGAGGAGGGGTATCAGGGGAGGCAGGGAGGAGAAGAAGAAGAGGGCCAGGAGGATGGACCCGACACGGCCATGCAGCACGATCGGAATAAGGACGGGAATGATGGGAATGGTGGGAGTGATGGGAGTGATGGGAGCGATGATGAGAACAGTGGGAGTAAAGATGGAAGGCCCGGGGATGGCACCCACTCATCTGCTGGTCTCACGTCCTCAGCAGCCTCTGCTGCCTTCTTCCTCTCCAGACTAGCCCGATCGCCAGGTGTTCATGTCACCCCGTACCCCGACGTCCCAGGAGCATACATCCTGCAAACACCATCCACGCCCACACCCTTATCGTCCTCCTCCTCCTCGTCTTCCTCCATTGATCTTCAAGATGCTGATCCCACCTCCACCACCACCAGCGGCAGCAGCAGCACCTTTCCCCACCCCCCGCCGCGCTGCGCCCTCCTCCTGCGGGACGTGTGCTACGTGCACATGCAGGGCGCCAGTCGCCTGCACCGCAGCAGCGCGGGCGTGTGGTTCGACCGTGAGGCGCTCGAGAGCGCTCTAGCAGGGGACCTGGGTGGTCAGGCCATCCATGCTGCCTCTGACCTGTCTAAGATCAACCTGGGGCTCGTGCAGCAGTGTGCTGCTGGGGAAGGTGGCGGTGCAGGTGGGGGGAACTCGAGTACGAGTGGTACTGGTGGGAGTGGGACTGGTGGTGATGGGAGCAGCAGCAGCAGCAGTGAGGTTGCTGATGTTGATTCTATCGCTGAGGCTCTTTATGAGAAGATTGGGGGGTTTCTGAGTGCGGATGAAATGGCCTTCTATGCCGCTTCTAGTGCCTCCCAGGGAAAGCAAGTCTTCCGCTCGTCTGCTCTCTCTCCGCCGCCCGCCCTCCCCTTGGCCGTCGTCCTGCCTTCGGCCGGGCGGCAGAGTGAGTTCGCTGACCTGGCAGATGTGCTGCATGACGTGGCACTCCACCTGCCGACCATTTCCAAGCCTAGCTCCCGCCACCAACGTCCTTACCACGTGGCTGGTTCCATCAAAATAAAGGGCTTGCAAGTTAGTGGGTCGAGCTCTGTTAATTCTGCTTCCGCTGCTGCTGGTGGTACTGCTGGCGCTGCTGGTGCTGATGCTGCTGCTGCTGCTGCTGGTACCACCACTAGTGCTCCTGAAGATACAGAATCTTCAACAGGGCCCCATCTCTTCCTCCCCTCCGCCGCCCACCCTCCTAACCTCTGGGTGGGTGGCGCAACTCGACTGCTTCTCGGGCCTCAAGCCCTCGCCCTGCCGGGCAGGCGCGTCGGGCAGGTGAAATGTTTCCAGAACGCCGTTTTCATCCCGGGCAGGGAACAAAAAACGAGGAACGCCTGGGCTGTGGAGGCAATAAGGGAGAGAGCATGGGAGATGGTGGATGATGTAGAGACCTTGGTGTCTAAAAGGCTATGGGGGGGTAGGAAGCTTGGGGCGGCCAGGACCCTGCAGGCCCAGGCACAGATTGAACTGAACGGGGACCTGAAGAGATTAAAGACGTTCTTTAAGGAGATGAGGAAGCGGACAGGAAAGTTCCATCATGTGACTGTGCTGGCGAGTGATGGGCAAGGTGGAGGGATAAAGGAAGGGGAGAGAAAGACAGAGAGGGATGGGGAGAGGGAAGGGGATGGAGAGGGGGATGGAAACGGAGAGGAGGATGAAGAAGAGAGGGATGCGGGGATGGCGAATGCAGGGGAGGTGGCGGAGCTGGTGCGAGCCATGATGCCCAAGCTCACTGTGGATATTGTCACTCTCACCAATCGTTCCTTCATCGAGCAAGTTGCCATCATGAAGGTGAGCCTTCTCTCTCTATCTCTCTTTCGCATCCTCTCTATCTCTCTTTCGCTCTCCAACTCGCTCTCTCTCTGTGTCCTTCAATCGACTCATCACAATCCGATTTATCCCATCAAATTCTATGTCTCTCATTTTCAATCCCCCCTCCTCTCCCCCACTTCTTCAAAACACCCTCGTCGTCTCGTAGGCTCTCACTTTCCTTACCTCCTCCCTCTCCCTATCCTCCCTCACTCCCTGCAGCGCACGGCTCTCCTGATCGCCATGCACGGCCCATCCCTCGCCAACACCCTCTTCCTCCCGCCCAACGCCACGCTCCTCGAGCTCTTCCCCCCGCACCTCCACTCCCCCCAACACGCTTCCCTCGCCGCCGCCTCACGAGTTCACTACTACAGCTGGCACAACGCGCACCCTCTCAACACCACATACACCTCTGACTGCATGGCACGAGGGCAATATGCACTCCTGCCTGCGGCCCTGTGTGCGGGGAAACTGGAGTGCCTGGCGTGTGTGAGGGACCGGACGGTGACGGCGGTGCATCTGGGGGAGCTGAGGGGCGTCCTGAGGAAGATTCAGCAGCCGCTGCGGGCGTTTTTCCTGGCTGACAGTGTCAAGCACAGGCACAGACGGAGAGGAATTCTGTATGGATCTAGCAGTAGCTAGCCAATTTCCATGAAGGGGGCGCATGCACGTGCATGCGGCATACCCATACATGGAGAGGAAGGGGACAGGTGGGGAGGAGGATTCATATCAGGAGAAGACAAAGAAGGGGTGTCTCTCCTTCCCTGTTGGTGTGGCATGGCAAGTGTTCATTTCCATGGTAGTGCAGCTGGTGGTGTTCCCCTTATAAATAAACCCTGATACACGTTCATTACCTATTCACCTTAGTTGGACCATTGAATTACTTGCAACGACTAGCTCTTGCGTAGTTTGTCATGCCTATTGATTTTTCCCGCATGCAAAAGGTTGTACCTGTTTTTCCTCACAAAATTTCATCAAAGCTAGACAGACACCCACCCAGTAAATCTACAGACATGAATTTGCCAATGTACATGTCAGGTAGCAGCAATTAAGCGGCCGCATGCACTGCGTTGCGTAGTCCCAAGGCTCAGTCACACGGACTGTGACGGATGAAAATAGGAGGCGGCGCGATCTGACGGTTAAGACTGGACGATTGATGGAACTGTTACTGGAGCAAGCACAGTTGAACGTTGCGACACGGGGATTTGTTTTCTGTAGTGCTTGGGCTGAGTCTTTTCCTGTTCAGGCCATGGGGAGGGAGAGATGAGGGGGTGAGAAAAAGGGGGGTGAGGGGTGCGGTGGGGAGATGCAGGGAGAGCGGAGGGAAGATGAGGGGTGAGTGGGGGGGAGATGCGGGCAGGGGAAAAATGAGGGGCGAGTGAAGGGGGGAACGCAGCAGTGGGAGGTGGAGAAAAAAGGGAAAGAAAGGAAATGAGGGGTGAACGGGGAAGAGAGCGGGGGGGGGTGGGGGGGGGGGGGATGAGAGGAGAGCGGAGTGGAGATGAGCTGGCAGCGGGGTGGGGACAAGGGGAGATCGGGGAGAATTGAGCAAAGAGCAGAGGGGAGATGATATGATGAGTGGTAACGAGATGCGACAAAAGCGGGGAGAGAAAGGGGGGTGGGGTGGGAGGAAACGAGGAAAGAATGCGGGGCATTGAGCGAAGGGGAGATGAGGTGTGAGCGGTACGGATTTGCAATGAAATCGGGGAAAAGAGAGGGGAGGGGGAGGGGGGGGGGGCGGAGGGAGAGGAGGAGGGGGAAGGGAGGGGAGGATGGGAGAATAGAGTGAAGAACAGAGGAGACATGAGGGGTGAGCGGTAAGGATACGCAACGAAAGTGGGGAGAAGAGCGGGGAGGGGGAGCGGGAGGAGGGAGGGGGGGTGGGGGGAGGGAGGGGAAGATGGGGAAAATTGAGTGAAGAACAGAGGAGACATGAGGGGTGAGTGGTAAGGAGATGAGATCAAAGAGGGGAAAAGAGCGGGGAGGAAGGGGGGGGAGGGAGGGGCAAGATGGAGAGAATTGAACTAAGAACAGAGGAGACATGAGGGGTGAGCGGTAAGGAGATGGGGACGGAACGGACGAGCGGGGGAACGAGGGAAGAGCGGAAGAAATGAAAAATGCCCTCCCCACCCAACCACACACAACCGAAATCCCGCCACCCCCCCTCTTCTCTCCCCTCCCCCCTCCCCCGTTTCCCCCCCCTTCCCCCCCTCTCCCCCTCGCCCCGCAAACCTCCCTTACTGTTCTCCTTTCCGTTTCTTACGTCTTGCGGCGTATCCGTCCGGTTCAGTCCGGTTCAATGTGCCTTGTCTTGATCACCTAAGGACATCAAATAGGCACCGACGATACTGACGCGTCCGCATGTAACTGCTAACGGACCTGTGTCCGTAAATCAATACTGATTCTATGTCCGTCCGCCATTAAATCCGTCCGCGAACGAAAGTTCCTACTCAGGCCGCAATCCATAATCTGAACATAAATCATACTCTGGCTACAGTACGAACATCTGACGCACGAAAGTGGCGATACCCACTTGAAGCTACGCGGAGCGGCGAATATTTTTTATACGGCTAATAAACGCGACTGACACTATCTACGGCGACAAGCCCTACTTTACGCTTAGATCTGAGAAGCCACGCGGGATGGAAACTAGAGAAGCGATGGTAAAGGTCAGATCTAACAGCGATTGGAAACCTAGAAACTAGAAACGACGATAGAGGGAGGTGCATCACGGAACTCAAAGTAAGGACGTGAGGAGGTTGAAACAGTAAAGCACGGTGGTGGTTGGGTGACGGACAGTGACAGGTGACCAAACCAACCTCATTTCCTATTGGCTCACAGACTTCTATCCCAACCACACCTCGTTATTTCAGCTGCCCGAACCTTGTTCACAAGCAGCGAAGTGGATGATATATTGAGAGTTTTGCTCAAATCCGCGGAGTCGAGGTTCGTTTTATTATCGCCACGTGGCATGCCTTCGATCGCGTGAACCGCGATCTGTTTTTTGTTATCACAAACTTCAAGAGAAATTTAGTTAAGTTCTGTACTGCGCTGCCCACGGGCAAAAATAAAACCCATTCGGGCCTGGCATGCGTTAGGGATGCATCAACCCTAAATACCTTGCCTCTAGGTGTTTAGGGTTGATGCATCCCTAACGCATGCCTTACCTATAGGGGTTTTATTTTTGCCCGCGGGCAGCGCAGTACAGAACTTAACTAAAATTCTCTTGAAGTTTGTGATAACAATAAAACGGATTGCGGTTCACGCGATCATAGGCTCGCCACGTGGCGATAATAAATCAAACCGCGCTTTCGCGGAATTGAGCAAAATTCTCTGATATATTGCACTGCCTGCGTCAGCAGGCAGTGCAATGAGTCAGCGGGCAAGAAAAACAATAAAACCCACTCGGAAGGCATGCCATCCGAGGGAGCCTCAACCCTAAAATTTTAGGGTTGAGGCTCCCGAATGGCATGCAGTCCGAATGGGTTTTAGTTTTTCTGCCCGCGGGCAGAATGCTGACTCACTCGGTAGCGTCGTCTAGCGAAACGGTAGCGCTACCGAGCGCTACCGACGCTACCGAGTGATATATATTGAGTTGTGAGCAGCTAATCTTACTGACAGCTCAGCAGAAAAAAGTTTATCGACCAGCTCCTTTTTACATCCTCCCCGCACCTCACGCAAAATTAACCAAGAACTGCCACGTCAGATTTCTCTTAGAAACGTTCGTTCCTGCCCTTCCCTAAAGCAAAACCTAAGTAGAGTACACACGATGACTCGTTATCAGAAGCACAAAGCAAACCAAACAAACCCTCTATCTTATGGATAGTTCCGATTGTTTAGGTTAGAGTTTGGATGTGTTGTGCACTGTACACATTTCAGTCGCCACAGCTTACCGCGGATACAACCCTCCAGAACTATCCATTCAATTCAAACTCTGGCACTTCTCCCCGCCTGCACTCTGGCAATTCTCCCCGCCTGCACTCTGGCACAGACGGAGCGGCCGTGTCGCACCTCGCTGCAGCCAGCAACATATCGCATTTGAAACTGAGGCGTGCTCTGCCGCGCGTGGCAGCCATGGTGGTTTAGAATATATTACTGCTAATAAAAAAAGTTCGTGAACAGAAATTGAGATTTATAGAATACAAGTCATCTACAACTTCATAAGCAAGCATCACTATGTGCTCAACTACTCCATCCGCAGAACCGCTGCGCTAGTCTTCAGCAACTCCATATGCAGAACCGCAGCGCCAAGTCTTGAACCGCTCCATCTTCAGAACCCCGCCGCCGCTTGAACTGTTGGCATGTCTTGTCACTTACCGTTGACCCCTCTTGGCCGCTAGAGGCAAATGCCTCTAGCGTTACACCCAAACACCGCGATGAGGTGGAGGTCATTCGTTTGGGACACCTGCTTGGGAGGGGAGGGACGATAATTTCGGAAAGGAGGGACGATTAATTTGAGATGAGAGCAGAACGACGCCTCAGGAAGAACGGCCGTTGAGGAGAGGGAAGAGGAGGAGAAGGTAAACGCAACCCACCCACCCACTAGCTCCCTTAATCTAACGCTCCTAATCGTCCTAGCTGATTCCTCCCGAGTGCCTGACAAAGGGAGGGGGAACGGAGGAGTGGGGATGGGGAAGGAGTCAAACTCCAGCGCAGCTCCGCTGCTCCTTTGCTCCGATGTCCGCCGATCCTCCGAGCCGTCGCTCTGCGCCACCGTCGTTCCGCCGTCGCTCTGCGCCACCGTCGTTCCGCCGTCGCTCTGCGCCACCGTCGTTCCGCCGTCGCTCCGCGCCACCATCGTTCCGCCGTCGCTCTGCGCCACCGCCGCGCCGCCGTCGTTCCTCTGCTCTTCTTGGATCCTGCTACATGGGCAAACAGAGAATGTTAGAATGAAGCAATGAAAAAACAATCATAACTGAAACGACAACTTGCCATGATAAGAGCATCACAAACAACCCTCGTTTTGTTTCGAAGGAGTTTGGGGGTCGAAATTTGTGTTTCAGGGTGGTTCTATGCGACTCGTGCCAGATTGGTCGAAATTGGGCGGAGTCAACCAAAGCGCGTCAATTTTTGCTCGAATTCTGTCTTGACGCTTCATTTCGGAAATGGGCGCGCTTTTCCTGTTCAAATTTTGGACACCAATTGGACCAATATCACACCACACGTTACAAGTCCCGATTTGGACCTGAATTGGTCAGTTTTAAGTCCTATCTGACTACACTTGCCACTTCTATTTCACAAAAATATTTCAAACGTACGAATCTTGTCGCCATGAACCTAATAAATCACATGGATTTTACCGGTACCGTCTTCAATTAGGAAGCTCTAATCACTATGTATATGTTCCATGTTTTACGTCTTGATAATTATGTTTCCAATAATTCAAACACTGGTTTCATCATTCGGCATGCAATATAGGCCGACGTCGAAAAAAACCGAACAATTTAGATATACGGCGATGAAATTCCCGTCCTTATAATATCGCAATAAATCATTACATCTCTTAATCTATCATAACTGCTATCTGCAACATTTCATCTAGCTGATTAATATGTCTGTATAGGTAGCGATGCTATGTCAGTTCTTTAGCGTAACACATATGGTGGTTGAACCATAGTATATACTTTCAAGAAAAAAATTGG